ACCCCAAAAGTGAAGCGCACTTGTTGAGTTAGTACTTAGTAGGGAAGAGTTTAAAAAAAAAAGAGTTTTTATTGGCTCAAACATCACATTTTGCATGAAAAGAATATATGAATGAATGACATTCTTGGAATTGCCTACTACCCACTCATGCTTGCAAATCAATGAATCTTTATCCGAGTTGAACTAAAGCGGTAAGTACTTCTTCATTCTTAATCAAGAGATTTTGGATTTGAGTCTCCTTAGATATATAGTTTTCTTTGTTAGGGAACATTTTACCCATTAGACTTTCCGACGCGAATCCAAATTTAGGCGGGCTTCAATGTGGATACCGAACATCGGATGGGAAAAAAAATCATTAAATCTTTACTGCACATATATAATTTTAGAATAATTAATCTCAATCAAATATTAAATAAATTTATCCTAAATTTTTTAAGAAATTAGTTATTTCCTACTTCTCCTATCAAATGACCGCTAAAGGTTAAAGTTGGTAATTGACAAAAATATTAGGTAATTTTCTTTCATTTATTTATCATTTATGTGAAAGTTATAAGAGAAATAATTACATAATATAATAATTGTGATAACATGTTTATTTATCATAAAATAATCACACTGTAATTTTTGATGTCTTATTTGATTTCACAAATATAACTACACAATTTGATATTCTTTTAGTATATATCTATATTTTAAAAAAACTTACTGAAATCAATGCATTTTCTTAAGAATTAGAGTGTAATTGCTTCATCTCTATTGCATCTAATTTCATGCCGATCAAATAATTATTTTACCAGACAAATAGACCAAATTATGTAATTATGTCAAAATTTTAATTATAAGTTTGTATCCTTCCAATCAGGTCCTCCTCAAGTTTTGATGGCAAAATTATTTACTTACGACTTTTGCTAGTGGAAGATAATAACATAATCAAAATGCGTAAAAACTGACCCCCCACAGTACCATCTTTGTACAAAATCAATGAAACTTTGATTTATGATTTGACTTTCAAGCAGCTTCACAACCTTATAATTTGCTATCTAGTCCTTAATAATAAAAGTTTGATTGTCTGATAGTTAATGATTTAAAAAGTATTTTAACTGTCCCTAATTATATGTTTATTTTTAAATTGATATACTTATTAAAAAAACAATGTTTAATATGATAGTGAATTTATCATTTTATCCATATTAATTATGAAGTGAATGAATTTAAAATATAAGATTTTCAAGAATTTCTACTTTTTTTTAAAGTAATTAATTGAGCATATTATAAGGAGATTTTTTTGTTATTTTTTTTTATTGTTAAAATGAACAAGTAATTAAGAATAACTAAAAAAGAAAAAAGTGAATAAATAATTAAGAACAAAAAGGAATATCTTGGGTTAATCATAACATTAGAAAAGAAGGGAATGATTTGCAAAATAACAAAATTTTAAAAATAAAAATCTCTTTGCAAATCATCAATAATTGAAGTAGAAGTCCTTGGAATAAGGGTATTTGTTGGGGTCCTCAATGTTTTGAAAAGTTATCTTTTGCTCCATTAATTCTGTCATCATTTGCTTTAATTTGATGGTCCTAGAAGCTTCAAAACTCTCACTAATAAATCAGATCATAACTTACTTAGTTACTTAATTGTTTCTAATTAGAAAAAAGAAATGACTAAACAAAACAGCGTCAATATGACGACTTTAACTAATACATATAGTTTGTATGAGAAATTTTTACATCATCAGGTCATATCTTTAATAAGTAAATTATAGTAATTTTAAAATTACAAATTCCTTTTATAAGAAAAAAATATTATTTTTATACCTTTTAAATGATTTGATAATAATAATAATAATAATAAATACATTGGTAATATATATATAATAATAATAAAAAGTTACATTAAAACTAACAATTTTCCGTCCACTTGTTTGTCCAAGCAAATTGGTGAATCTTCTCCATCCCTTTTCTTGATTTTGAAAAGGTTGATTACCTAGTCTAAGAAGGTATATTAATCACTCCATTAACTAACAACCTCCCAATTAATTATATATTTCTCTCTTCTAATTAAAAAAATTGTTCCTTTTTAAATTCTTTAAGCAGAAAATCTCGTTTAGCTTTTTTCTTTTCATGATGAATATTTAGGGTGTCATCAATAATGAGTCCAAATATAGGTAATTCGTTCATAATTTTATGGGTTGAGTTTAAGATAATTTGAATTGAGTTCAATTTCAACCCATTCAACTCTTATCCCATTTTTAAAAAAAAATTCAATTGAGCCCAATTTAATCTTCAATTTTAACCCGTTTTCAAACTCTTTATTTACATTGGTTTAATGTATGTTCTCATATTAAAAGTATGAACTACAATCTATTTTATTTCTTCTAAGATTTATATATCCATTGTAACTTTTTTTCATTTGTTTGAGTTAAAATTCAAATTATGATTATAAAAGGTAAATAATAACATGTTAAAATTATTGTGAGTAAACATGTCAAATTGAATGGGTCATAACCCAACCCGATTACTAGCTCATTTGAACGCAAAGTAAATTTGGGTGATTCATTATCCAACTCAATATCTCTATCAGTCCATTTTAATATCTCCAAATTTAACTTAATTCATTCATTTGATAATCTTGACAAAAAATATATTTCGTTCAACAATCTAAAGTAAGTAATAATGTACATTCAATATTAAATACTATAAACTTTGTTAGACAAAAATAAGTCAACTAAATATTCTGTTTTTACCGTTTTTGCTAAACCCCTCAAATTTTATAATCCTTGCGTTAATTATTAGAAAGATTCTAAGCATATAGAGTTATTCAAAAACATAAAGCATTAAGTTAAGTTGTTTCATCACTAACACAATTATTAGTGTTAATTGGACAAGTGATAACTTTTTTTTTTTCCATATGAAGCATCAATTAAACAATCTCTAAATAATACCCTCTCTGTTTTATATTAAGTGAATTTTTGAGACTTTTTTTTTCATTATTTAAAGTTTAAGATGGATGTTTAGATTTTTTTTTCCATATTTGTCATTTTATTTATTGAAATTTTATATTTTCTAATAGTTAAATTACACTACTTACAAAAATATATTTATGATTTTGCAAAAATCAGTAATAAAAATTATAATATTTTTTTATTTTTTTTATATATATATTTATTATATTACAGATTCAGTTAATATAAAATACAACTATACAAAGTAAAGTACAGTTAGAACTTGGAATCTCTGACTTGGTTAATTACAGGCCTAGTCTGTATAGGTTTTAGAACTTTTACGTTTCAAGGGGCCCGAGACCCATCGGGAACTCAAAACAACTACGCTACCTTTGAGCATTGTGACTAATTTTATTAGAAACTTGCATAAATTCACTAGTTCAGCAGATAAATTACTTACGTGTATTATAGTTTGTAATATTATTAGGGGGTGTTAAATAGGTAGGTTGAGTTGAAATTAGAGATACTAAAATGAGTTGAAATAAATATTTGGTTGGATCTTAATCCGTTCAAGTTTACTTTTGGCTCAATTGAATTGGGCTCAAATGTGCATAAAATAGGTTGGGTCTTGACCAACCTAATTTGACCCGCTTAATTTCAACAATTTTAATATATAGTTATTTAAGTTTTATAACCATAATTTGAATTTCAACTGTAGAAAAATTAAAAAAAGAAGAAGGAGCTATAAATAGATAAATAAATCATAAAATATATAAAATAAATAGTAATTCATATATTAATTCAACATTGGAACATACATTACATCAATGCAAATAAAGAATATTTAAATGGGTTGAAATTGAAGATTAAATTGGGCTCAATTGAGGATTCTTTTCAAATGAGCTAAAGCTTGAATGAGTTGAGATTGAATCCAATTAAAATTATCTTGAGCCCAACCCTTAAAATTCCGAGTTTACCTATAGTCGAACTCATTTTTGACACCTCTCTAAATATTATGTATCTTATCAAATTTCAGTGCCTCTAAATATGTTCAGATATCTCAAATACATGGAGCTGTAATTTGTTCTAGATACATTATATCCAAAATGGATTCATATGTATCAGGGATACATAACAAATCTCCCCCGCCTCCCTTGCCACTGTCCTCCATCTCGCTCGCCACTCTCTCATGTATATGGTATTCCAGACATATGTGAATCACTCCAGATACATAAGAAACTTTTAATTAGTGGTAAGATAAGTAATATTTTAAAAGTAAAGATAATAATAATGATATATATAGTAGTGAAGTATGTCTATTATGTTTTTTCAATTTTATTGGGAAATATTAATAAATATTGGTATTTTGAGCTCACATTTGTGAAAAATAGTGAGATTTTAGTTAGTTACAAAACATAATACTAGAATCTTGGTTGAAAATGTAATGAATTATATTGTATTCATGTACATAATAATAGTCAAACATATTGTATCAGCGTACAAAATAAGTGTATACGCACATATATAATAGTAATTCGATAGCGAAATTTATTATATTCACGCGTATACAATATATCTCTTTAATTACATCTTTGCAAATAATAAATGTATCCGCATATTTGCTATTAAACTCCAAACTATCACTATATAATTTTTTAAAATTACTACTATGAATAGAGGGTTGAGTTAGCTAAGCCACATAATTTTCCCCTTTTTATTTTTTGCTCATTATGAAATTTCATAATTCTTTCTTGTGTTACATAGTTCTCTATCCATTAGAACAAAGAGTGGCCTAAAATCAATTTGTGCTGTTTCCTTTTTTGTATCAATAGAATCTTTCATATATATTTTCCTTTAAAAATCAGTAAATCATCACCCCTGAAAAAAGACCTTAGTGATAACGTGTGGTTTTCTAACACAAAATAATAAGATGTGACATAAAGCTAGTGTGTGGGATAAGGTACTTTGTCCCTAACCTCTTGTTATCTTATTTTGCATGGAATAACTTAAATTAAATTCATTCACTCCCCAAAAAAGTTGAAACTTCATATACTATCATAATTTTGTTGGAGAAATTATTAAGAATGGAAGATGTGAAACTTTTGGGCACAAAAGAAAGTATATTTACTCAAAGAATAATGTGGGCACTTAAGTTAAAAGGCATTTGTTATGAATTTATTGAGCAGGATTTTTCCAGCAGAAGTAGTCCATTGCTTGTGAAACTTAATCCAGTTTACAATAAAGTGCCTGTTATTGTTCATGATGGAAAATCATTAGCTGAATCACTTGTTATTCTTGAGTATATTGAAGAAACATGGCCACTTATTAATCCTTTATTTCCTGTGGATCCTTTTGAAAGAGCTTCTGGTCGTTTTTGGGCTCGTTTTGTTGATGGCAAGGTAAAAATATTAGTGTATTTTAATTTGTTGTAACGGATAATTTTCTTATTTTCCATCGTATACTAATCTCACTTTCTTATGAACGATGCGATAGATCTTAATATTAGTCCAACTAGCTTAATTATTGATGCAAGTGGTTAGGTTAAATTATTGGATCAAGCCAATACTGTCTAGATATATAGTTGTTTCCCTTATTCGTATTAACAACTACTCTAGAGTCTAGGGGAATGTTTTAATGTGCTCTAGAGTCTAGGGGAATGTTTTAATGTGGTGCTAACGAATTAATAACTATCATTGTATATGAGGCTACTATGAAATATTTATTCTCGAGTGGGGCAAGCTCTTCTATTCTGGTTCACGATTTCTCTATTTTTTTTAAATCATTGATGCAGTTCTATGAAGCAGCTAAGAGGGCATTTTTCTCATCTGGAGAAACAAAAGCAGAGGGGGTTGAATCAGTGGTAGAGGGTTTACATCTTCTTGAAGGACAAATAATTGGGAAAAAGTTTTTTGGTGGTGAGAAACTAGGGTACCTTGACATTATAATTGGTTGGATTGCTTATTGGTTCCAATATATTGAAGAAATTGGTGAATTCAAAGCAATGGATTCAACAAAATACCCTTGTCTACATGCATGGATCAACAATTTCATTCAACTTCCTATTATTCAACAAAGTCTTCCTACACCTGATGTTGTCAAAGCTGTTTTTAGGGGATTCAAAGATGCTGCAGCCTTGGCTGGTGCAAATTGAAAAAGATTAAGAGGTGTTCGATACGACGAAAATTATTAGTACTTATTTTATTTAAATTTTGTATCTAATAAGTAGATATATTTTGAGTAGTACAAGTGTTCTGTTCGGTTGGTACAAGTCTGGAGTTGTAGCGTTAAACTAAATTATGTAGACGGATTCCGAACTCATAAGCTGAATAAATTAAAATAACTTTTCTGGTGTCTCTATGTTTTGGTTACATACAAACAAACTCTTCGAAAGAAACAATTGGTTCTGTTCCATTGTAAAATGTACTCTCTTGTTGTTAAGGCATCTTTAGTAGAGGCATTTTATATGTCCTTTATTCAGATTTTAGGAATATAAACTTAGGTTAAAGCAACTTGATAGCTGCATTTTTCTTGTAACAAGACAGTTGAATATTTCACCACCGTTGCCTCCAAGAAAAAGCAAACAACATAAAAAAAACAAACACTTGGCGCTCAAAGCGCCTTTAATGAGGAAGAAAGAAGGGGATTTTGGTACTTAATGATGGGAAACACAGAGGAGAATAGTGTATTCAAACATTTTAGTCATGGACATCAATTTGTGTACATCAATAAGCAAAGTAATGCAATTTGCTCTGGATGTAAACTCAATATATTGCCTGGTAAATTCTACTACAAATGTAAAAGTACGTGTTCATTTTTCCTTCATCAAGAATGCTTCAATATGCCCAAAAGTTTGCAGCATGTAGTGGATCCAATCCACCATCTCACTCTACTAACCACAGTACCTTCTTCATCAAAATGCAACGCGTGTAGAAAAGAAATCTTGGGATTTTCTTACGCGTGTACCAAATGTTCTACTTATTATCACACACTATGTTTATTAGCATTACCTCTTTCAATGGAATTGCCATCTCATTGCCATAAACTGGACTTAGAATTTTGTCCTCCTTATGATTTCGAATGTGACTTATGCAAAAAGCCTAGTTATAAAGGGTGGCTTTACCATTGCAGCTCTTGTGAATTTGATGCACATATTTCATGTGCTATTACACATATTGATGAAAGAAAAACAGAAAAAAATGGTGATAAATGTGATGAGTTGATGGAATTACTATCAATATACATGAAGGGAACGGAGGATATCAGCGTTAGTCAAGATCAACTTCATCATCAAGCTCAACAAACCCCGAGTTACCAATTCAGTGATCAATGCTTTTCCATTGATCTTGCAAAGTCTCAGCAACTAAACGATGAACAGACCGGATCAGTGGAAACTAAGGAGAAATCGAATGTTGCTCTGGAAAATGAGATAGGTTCTGAAGTTTGGATGGGATTAGGCAGGGAAATGGAGAAGGCTTATCGAACCAACGACTCTAACAAAGTAAGAATTATTTTTTTACGAGTAACAATTTGTCTAAGATTCTCATTTCGATTATATATTTTCAGGAACGTTCGAGGAGTTCATGTTGTCCAGACATACTTCAAACTCTATTTTGTCTAAAGAAGTAAAAATGCAGGACGAACCACTGTAATATTTAGCCTATCTCAAATGAAGTAAACTATTAATCTTACTATAAATGTTTCTATTTGATGAACTAATTTTATCAGTCTAAATGGATGAAAATTACTTATTCTGTTTAGTCTCTTACACTAACTAGTTCATTGTTTGTTTCAACCTACTCGATCGCGTTATCTTAGACTTTCTAGATAAAACACAAGAATTGGCTAACTAGAGACAATACAATACAATACAATACGATACAATTAAATTAGATGAACAAAATCACATTGAAACTGGAAATGAATCCTATTGAGAAGACAGTTAGTTCCAGTGCTAATTCATGACGGAAAGCAAATATGTGAGTTTATCATCATTCTTCAATACATAAATGAGACACGGCCTCACAATCCCATCATATGCCAAAACACCCTTCCCAAAGCACGAGGGCAAAATTCTCCGAAGAAAAATAAATGTCTGTCCCACTGTTACAAAATTTAAAATTTAGCTTTTAAGTCACTAATTTTATTGAGCCGCCTGTGATAATACTTTTTTTCCTTGTAGCTGTAGCTATGGACCATGAAAATAGCTGCAAATTACAAGGCAATAGACTCAACAAAGTATCCACATATGATAAATGGATGAAAAACTTTATGGTGCAACATAGACCACATCAACCAAGAGTAATAGACATTGTCTTCTTGCAGGGGTGGAAAAACGTGTCTTTTTATGTATTATTTTTCTATAATTCAAAATCTCAAGGCAACGGGTGATATAATCCAAATACTAGTCTATCGGTACTTTTTTCGTTTTAATTTTTTTTTAAATTTTTTTGACTAGACAATAACGGAGTTTAAGAAAATAAAGAAGATTATTGATTCTTAAAATCTTAAATTAAAGATATGAAAATGTATCAAAATATTCCTTTAATCTTGTGGTCTTTTTAACTCTTAAAATATTATATTAACACTGAAAAGTTAGAATTTTTTTTAAAAACAAATCCCATAAAATAAAAAAAAATCCACATACCTTTTTAATGGACTAAAAAAAGAGCTAAAAAATAAACAAAACAAATCAAAACAGAAAGAGTGTATTACTAATTCAACATGTGGGATATATGCGTGGTGGCAATGTGTTGGCAGTAATTAATGAACACAATTATTTTGCTTGGAATCTTTTGGTAATAATATCATTGTCCTAATATTGCTTCATGAGTATTATTCACAAATTAATGTAGTGAAATTATGATTGTCCTAATATTGGTCCATGAATATATAACGGTATACGTATCTTCATATATACAATCAGAGGCGAATTCAGGATTCGAAGGTTAGGGGTGCCATGTCATCTAAATGGTAAACGGGTCGGTTCCTTCATTTTAGGTTATGATTCGAGTTATTTAGTTTTTTCGATTTCTATAAATACATTGATCAAATATACATATTTAGTAAAAAAAAAATTCTTTTAAATATTCTAATATTAAAGATATACACCTAAATAGTGTGTTTTTTGATATATTTTTTAGGAATAAGATACCTCTATAACTTTGAGAAAACAAGAGATTTTTCACCTTAAAAATTCAAATTTGTATACATAATCTAACACCATATAGTTGAGAAAAAATAAAAATTATAGCTTCAATCTAGTTATCTCCACTTAGTGTGACGTTAAAGATTGAAAGAACCTTTAAATTCAAAAACTTTAACATAATAATATCCATCATTTTAAAAAAAAAATTCAAAAAAAATAAAATCTATTTAAGTATATTTTTATTAATATTCTATGTGACGTTCAAAATTCTATATTAATCTGTAATTAATATAGAAAATCACGCAACACTCGTATCAGTTAAAGATAGATAAATAAGCAAGGAGTAGCAAATAAAGAAACTAATTGAGAGGAGCGAGAAACTAAAGCAAAAGACAAAAAAAATTGGCTAGAAACTAAAGACAAAAAAAAGGAAGAGCCTGAAAGTCATTCACACAAGCGAAGAATAAAAAAAGTTAGTGCTGCAAAAGAGTTTTGAACACTCAACACTTCCATTGAAAGTTACATCCTTTGCCAGTTGCACCATTGAACATATTATTCATTGGGTGGCAGATGTAATATTTATTCATTTTGTTATACTCATACACATATATATACAAAGTTTTAACCGAGGCCACTGGGTGCCGTGGCACCCCACCCATAAGGCTAGATCCGCCCCTGTATACAATATAAGAAAATAAATAAAAACCTTCCTTATTTTCCTGAAATAACATTTTTTTACCTTTCGGCAAATACATGATCCTCACAATCCACATCAGACAAGGTTGGAAAAATATTAGTAGCTCTATTTATTGAGTATCTGAACTTTCACATTTTTAGGAATTGTTTAGGAGAGGAGAGATGAATGAGGACCTTGTTCTTGGTGTTTCCCGAATAAGCTTCCAACTAATATTACTATTATATATATCGAACAAAAAAGCACACATTTACAACATCTTGAATAAAAAACACCCTTTTCTTGTTCTACATTAAGCTTAATTATGTCTTTTAAATTACTCTTTATCCATTTCTTAGTCACTTACATGGTCCTTAGTGAAATTTTCTTGATGTCATTTTCATTTTCATATACAACAAACACTAATTGTCCATCAGGGTACCCAGAGGAGGGAGTGGGAGTGGAGAAAGAAGATATAGACAAAATGCAATTTGCAGTGAACTTAAGAGTTTTTAGAAGCAGAGTACTTTTTATGGGCTTCTTATGGATTTGGGCTTGATGTAGTTGCACCAAATTTGCCTATGAGTGGGCCTCCTCCTATTGGTGCCAGAAAAGCAAATCTTGATCAACTTACCAACAATATTATTATGGAGTTTGCTAACCAAGAAGTTGGTCATCTAAGGTGAATTCAAATTATGTTTCTTTTTTCCCATGAATTATAAATTTATGAGTAAAAAAAGTTTGAAATTTGGAATCCCATCTTGGTTTTTGAAGAATTTGGGATATGACGTTGCATGATATCAAATTGCATGTTTAAACGTAAGCTAAGTTTTATGAACTAATGGTGCAAAGTATTTATATAATTAGGTTGTGTTATATGTGTTTGGTTGTTTTGCAGGTCACTTAACTCGACAGTTGGTGTTTTTCCAAGACCTTTGTTAGATCTTAGTGCTAAAAATTTTGCAAAGATATTTGACGATGCTTTTGGACACAAATTGGTACCTCCATTTGATTCATACAGAGACAGTTTGAGCTACATGTTATCTTGCTATGTAATTCCATATGTTGGATTGGTTGGGTATGTTGGTACAAATCCCAATATCAACGGCTACGAAACCAAAAGGGTAAGTAAATATACATGTATTAATCCTCCACTCCCCCCTCTCCATATGATTTACGAAAATGATTTTGGAGGCGGATGATCTTGAACTTTTGACCTTGATGGTCCATGGGCAAAACTCTAAGTTCAACAATTTTAACTTCTAACACTAAAGGTTTGGCCATGAGTCAAACAACAATCAAAATTTTAAACCGCTCATTTTTAAAGTGTGTAATTTCCTATATGGATGGAAAACTAGAAACAGTAAATAGCCTTAGAAAAAACTACATACTAATCAAAAGACCACCTTTCATATTCTTCTCCTATTCGGGACTCCTATTTTTTCCACAAAAATAGCATGATATGAACTAGAACAATAGGTACAAGAACATATTTCGTATTCCACACACACAAAGCAAAAGATTTGCACATATATTACTCTAAAGTTAAACGAAAAATAATAACTATATTGTAAAAGTATAATGAATGACAAATATAACTTATTTGTAAAGAGTACAAGCAAAAATATGACTCTTTTCTGTTAATAAATTAGTTCATTTCCCTTTTACATCGCAGATAATACTTTTTTTTTCTTTTGTAGCTTTTGGCAGGATTATTAGGTGTTGAATCAGGACAAGACGCAGTTATCAGGATGTACCTCTATGAGAGAGCAACAAAATTAGTTCCCCCTTATCAATACACGGTGGCTGATTTCACCTCTCGTATATCAGGACTAAGAAATAAATTAGGTAATTGCGGGATCAAAGATGAAGGTGTATACATTCAACCACCACTCGGGGCAGAGAATCGAACTTGAAGTAACGTATTATCAGCTAATTTTGGTTCACTTTCCTACAAAAGAACTCCTGCTGAGATTCTAAGGATCGTATATGGTTCTGGAGATGAACATGTGCCTGGTGGATTTTATCCTAAGGGTGCTAATGGAAAAATTGCTAAGGAATTTCTGAAATAGCCATGAAAATAATTAAATTATCATTATATATATTTGTAATAATTTTTTATGAAATAAAATAAACATGTAGTATGGTGTTAATTTTGAAAGAATTTTCCAATAATTGCTTACATGAAGATGCAGTAAATTAAATGAAGTAAAATATTGTTTTATTTAATTTCCTTAAAGTGTTGTTTAAATTTTATATAAATATTTAATGGTGTTCCTTAATTTTTTCTCATTCCAAATCTCTTTGATAATATCACTAAGCAATCAAGAGTTTTCGGCCCTAATAGATCAAGGACAACATCATATTGGAAAGAAAAAATAAATGTTGTGCATGCAACTATATCTTATGCTGAAGAAAATAAGTAATTAAAGGTGTCCACTAATTCATTATATTATAACTATATAAAACGATGTTATGTAGTATGTTTTATCCACTAATTTCATTATAACTCTGTATGAAAAAGTTATAAATGTGTAGCCGTAGTTGTGTATGCAATTTGTAGTCTTTCTATTTTTTTAAATTGAGAATTGGGAAAGTGGAGAATCTAAGCTCATAAACAAATTGAGAATTTAGGTATTCAACCAAGTTAGTAAGATGCCTTATGTTTGTATTTTATAAATCGCCATTAAAATAATTTTAATTTAGATATACAACTTTCATAATAATTAGTATGCTTATATATTTAATTGAACACATAATTATTTGGATTTAAGAACAGTAATTATTAAATGTAATAACCATATAAAA